TGTACACAATCCCAATGGACCCAAACCCCTTCCCATTCACTCCCACTGTACACAATCCCAATGGACCCAAACCCCTTCCCATTCACTCCCATTGTACACAATCCCTATGGACCCAAACCCCTTCCCATTCACTCCCACCCTACACAATCCCAATGAACCCAAACCCCTTCCCATTCGCTCCCACTCTACACAATCCCAATGGACCCAAAGCCCTTTCCATACACTCCCACTGTACACAATCCCAATGGACGCAAACCCCTTCCCATTCACTCCCATTGGACATGATCCCAATGGATCAAACCTTTTCCCATTCGCTCAGAAGGACAGACACAGGAGAATGGAAGACACTGGTCTGGGACATACGTGTTTGAGCTCGAAAAGCACGTCCCTAGTGAGTTCCACCCTCTTCCGGTTGATGTGTTTGATGGCCACAACATTTCCCTAAGGAGAGAAACGAGAGGAAAGCACAAATAGGATGGGCGTGTGAGAGACACGAGGTGGTGGCCCCACTCTCACAGAGTGGGTCAGCTTCATCATGGACATTCACCGATGGCCATATCCTCGTCGTTACACAGATGCCACACCTCAGACTGCTCACTGGCATCATCTGGTGTCTGTCAGTGCCGCCCACCCTGACATCCCAACAGTATATTCTCCAGTCTGTTTACCCCTCGTGTGTTTATCCAGCTTTCCCCTTTTCTGCATCCCGGATATTCACCCCTCCAACTCCCCGCAGGAGCGAGTCCCCCATTCTCCCCCACCCACTCTGTTCCTTGTGTGATTTCCTACCTTGTAATACGCTGTCTTGGCATAGACCTGGCACCGCCCCTCATTTGTCAGCAGGAAGCCATAGTTCGAGCCACGCTAGAAGAGACAGATTGTCGACAATGGCAAACTCAAATTTCCTTAAATATTTCCTCCATGTTTAACATGGACATCAAACAAACTGCAAGTCAGAGGGTGGACGTGCCCCCATCACTGGGGGAGTTCACCCCCTTTCGCTGGGGAGGAATCGGCCACCTGTCGCTGAGAGAATGGGCTGCTGATGTTGGGTGTATTTGTTGTTCTGGGGATAATACCATCAGCATACACACACACACATCCATGCACATGCACGCATACACACGCACACATACACACACATGCACACACACACGTGTGCACACATCTGCGCACGCATACACACACACGCACGCATACACACACACGCACATACACACGCACATACACACGCACACATGCATAAATACATACACACATGCACGCACATATGCACGCATACACATGCATACATACACACACACACATACACATACACACACTCGCACACACACATACACGCGCGCACACACGCATATACACACACACCCATATACACACACATACTCATATACACACACACACACATACACATGCACGCACATACATATACGCACACATGCATACACATACACACGCACACACACACATGCACAAACACACACATACACACACACACAAGCACAAACACACACATACACACACACACAAGCACAAACACACACATACACACACACAAACACACACATCTACACACACACACACAAACACACACATCTACACACACACACACAAACACACACATCTACACACACACACACAAACATATACACACACATGCACACGCACACACACACAGACAAAGTGACACCCACACCTACCAGCGACAGGGTCAGCTTGCTGCCCATACTCCAGAGGTTCTTCTCCAAGCTGCTGAACTGAATGTCCTCCCAGCGTATCCGCCACAGCTCACTCGCCAGCTCCTTCTCCAGCTTGAACTTCCTGGAAAAGGATGGAACAACCAGAGAATTAAGAGCACGCCACATCCCAAGCTTTGTATTTCCTCTGCCATTCACAGAATAAAATCGATGTGGGGTTGTAGAGCTTGGAGATGGAGAGGTGTCTGTGTATCCTGGGGACTGAATCACAGGAGGAGGGTGTGCAAATACAGCAGGTAATAAGGAAGTCTCATGGAATTGAAGGCAAAAGGAGGGAGGCATCATTTTAGTGACACAGGGCGTGGTTGAGTCCACCCCAGGAGTACCAGGTACAAGGCTGGTCTCCTTATTTAAGGAAGGATGTTAATGTTTTGTAAGAAGTGCAGAGAATATTGACTAGACTAATACTTGGAAAAGGCGAATTCTCTTACAAGGGTGGACAGGCTTGGACTGTAACCGCTGGAGTTTAGAAAGTCAGAGGCGACTTAAATGAAACGTATAAGATCCTGAAGGGGGGGTAACTGGGTCGGTGTGGCAATGGTTGCGGGGGGGAGGGGTGGAGGTGTGTGACCAGGTCAGTGCGGCGATGGGGGAGGTCTGTGTGTTAGGGTCAGTGTGTGAGGGTCAGTGTGTGAGGGTCAGAGAGTGAGGGTCTGTGTGTGAGGGTCAGAGAATGAGAGTCTGAGTGTGAGGGTCTGCGCGTGAGGGTAAATGTGTCTGGGGTATACACATCTCTGCTATACTTTATTTACAGGACCATTACACAGACATTGCGGTATTTGAGATATATAATTGTCACTGGCTTATACAGAATGCCAGTTGGTAAGGTGTTGGTTAAAACAGAATTTGCTGTAATTTCAGTGACGGTGACACTGAAAGGACCTCTCAGTTCCAGGGCCCTAAACAGCCCTTCCAGGTGAGACAGAGCTTCACGTGCATCTCCTCCAACCTCGTCTACTGCATCCAGTACTCCCGATGTGGTCTTATCTACATCGGTGAGACCACACCTACAATAGGTGACCGTTTCACCGAGCATCTTCGCCTGGCCCGTGACAGATAGCCTAACCACCCCATAACTGCCCATTTCAACTCCCCGTCCCCACTCCCCCTCCGACATGTCTGTCCCCAACCTACTCCAATGTCGCAGTGACTCAGGACACACATCTGAAGAACAACACCTTATCTTCTGCCTGGGCACCCTACAGCCCGGAGGGCTCAACATTGAGTTCTCCAATTTCAAATAACCTTCCAACCCATCTCCTCCCTTCCATTCCACCTTCTGACCTTCCCTTCCAGCCACCAACTGGAATCATCCCTTCCATTGACCAACCAGGCCATACCTACCACCAGTGCCCGCCTATCACCACCGTTCCGCTACATCCCTCCCCTACTCTCTTTATCTACAGCTCCGGATCCCCCAACCCCCAAATCCAGTCCTGAAGAAGGGTTAATACCCAAAACATTGATTGCTCCTTTCCTCCAGATACTGCCTGGCCTGCTGTGTTCTTCCAGCCTCCCGTTTGTCTGCTCTCAGTTCGAGATTCTCCTCATTAATTGTAAATCCCACTCTTTCCCCAATCAGAGCCTGCCTTTCCTAAAACCATCGAACAGCAGCAGGCCAATCAGCCCATCACATCTCGAACTAGTCTGGCCAACCCCTAACTGGAAACCTCAGCGCTGTTCATCAATTGTACAATTCCTACAGCGTGGAAGCAGGCCCTTCGGCCCAACAAGTAACCCAATGGACTGAATTCCTCAGACCCCAACGCTTCTCACCTGCTGCTTTTAATAATTATTCATTCACAGGATGATGGTGTTGCTGGCTAGGCAGCATTTATTGCCCATCACTAATTGCCCAGAGGGCATTTAAGAGTCAACCATATTGCTGTGGGTCTAGAGTCACATGTAGGCCAGACCAGGTAAGGATGGCAGTTCCCTTCCCTCAAGGACATTAGTGACTCAGATGGGTTTGTCCGAGAATCGCCAATGGATTCATGGTCACCATTAGATTCTTAACTCCAGATTCTTTTTTGTTTAAATTCCACCATCTGCCGTGGCGGGATTCGAACCGGGTCTGAATTAACAGCCCAGCGATAACCTCCCCAGCTGTCAGGAGATCAATTGTTCGTGGGTTATGGACGCTGCTTTATTGCTGTAGCTTGTGGCTCAGCCTCTGTTCAGGGGGGCAGTCACACTCCACTCTCTCGCATGAGGAAGCTCCCCGAATGAACGCGCCCCCCCACCCCTACCTGTAGATGAGGAACGAGGTGATGGTGATGATGAGGAGGATCAGACTGCCGACAATAGCGAGCACCTCCAGCATGGTAAACATCCTCCCTGTGGAACAAGCAAGAGAATCCCAGTCAGGGACACACCGAGTCAGGACAAGGATGGGGCCGGGACTCCGGTCCGACCCTGGCCCCAGGGAGGGGACAATCCCAGCTTATGGGGGGTGGGAGGGGGTTGGTGGTGAATGGCCTGCCTGAAGATGGTGACTCTCCAGTAGAAGGGACTGAGATGGTCGGCTAATCCTTTGCCAAAGGACCAGCCTCAATATCATCCTCTGTTCTGGGCACTGAGACCCTATGGGTGCAGGGGAGGTTTCCCAGAGCAATACCCTTTCTCCTGAGGGGGAACTGTGGAGGGTCTACAGGGAGTGGGCCGAACCCGACAGCTGAGCCAAAGAGCGAACACAAGCCAGAGGGGCCCAATGGTCTCCTTCAGGGGCGAGAAAGAGAGAGGGGGGAGAAGGGAGAGAGAGATGGAGGGGTGAGGGAGAGGGGGGAGAGAGA